GGGAGGGATCGTGCCATGACGGTGTCCGCGTCCGCTGTCTCGTTGCGTGGGAATCCGCGGTGCCATGGGGAAAATGTGAGGCCAGCTGTACGACCTCGATCCACCTGTGAAAGCGGCACGGTACAAATCTCTTCGGTGACGTCGTCGTGCACCTCCAGCGGGCCAAGGCGGAGTGATTTCATTGCCGAGAGGGAGTCTGTGGCGGCAGGAACTCGTGTGGGCGATTGGGATGCTGCTGCCAGGCGGGGAACTGGGAATTGTCTGAGACAATGCTCAGTGGCAGGACGCTCCGCTTGGCAGGAGCATGCAAGGCTGCCAGCAGCTGTGCGATGAGGCCCCACAGGGAGCTCCGCTGTCCGGGGAGTCGAGTGGCATTGCAGCGGATCCACATGCATGCTGAGTAAGAGACGACGAGCCGTCCGTCCAGCGGCCTGCGTCATACGGTCCCAGAGAGATGCAGGCCGCTTCAACGGCCGATCGTCTGACACCGTTCAGGGCGTCCTTGGCGTGCTGTGGCTAGAAGACTCCCACCCCGTCGCAGCTCACAGTGTCGCAGATGAAAATCCGGTTCTCAGAATGAGAGGTGCGGGTGGGGTGCGGTAGGATCCCCATGTGGCTGCGGACGCGTTGCATTCCGTCAAGTACGGCATCTCTCGGCAGCAGAATACTCGTCACTGCATTTCCATGTATCGACTAAGGCATGTCTTTTGAGAAGATTGCACCACTTCCTTCCTCAATATACCAAAGAAATGTGAGGCGTTTGTGCTGTGTGGGTGCGCGAAACCCAACAATCCTCCGCAGCGGTGCCGGACTGGCTGCCAGGTGGACAGAGGTATCCTTTGTTGATGCGCATGGGCCAAGAGATGCCGTGCAGCTGTCGTGGTGCCGCACTTCCAGGCTGTGGAGGTGAGTGGGGGCCGGACACGGAGCAGTTGCCTAGACACCGTGGTGCAACGCATTGTGGACGCACCCAACAAGAAAGAACCGCATGGTGTTGCTGGGACGCCCCAGCTCCTGCACCCAGCCACGGCCGACAGCAAAGGGGCACGAACTGCTCTGCAGCGGCTGTGACGTGCAAACCAAAATTGAGAAGTCTATCAATCGCATTGCCAAGCAGACGCACCGGGTGGGACTTGACGCGTGGGTTTTTACCGTACAGAAATTGGTTGGTCGTATCCTCGTCAGACCGTCAGCGTGAAAAGATGCAAAACAGAGCGGCTCCGCTCCTATCCGCGCTGATTCTTGGGCTGTGCTTGGCAGCCCATGTGGCCACAACTGACACAGCAAATGGCATTGCCGCAGCACATGCACGGCCGTCCGCACCCAAGGCAACAAGCATGCTGTCGTCAACGTACATGAACGCCGACGCAAAGTGATTGCTGCCCAGCTGGCTTCACACATGACAACGACGGCATGTTTTCCGTCGTGGAAGCATGCCTGCCTGTCGCGGGATGCCGTCCTCCGTCCCTTCAGTGTGTGATGGCAGATGGTGGTCCGAGTCCACGTAAACTGGTGGATGTCCAGTGGGAGACACGCAGTGCGCGTTGTGCAGTCACGTTGGGAAACAAGACGTGGCGGCCGCCGATTTGCGCTGCCTGTGCCGGGTCGTCGGACAGCTCAGAGTCCATGCCGCTTGGGGTGGAGGCAAATTCCTCTCCTGCCATCGTTGACGGTGAGCGACTGTCCCGCAGCTCATGATGTGAATTCGGGTCGCCCACGATAGGAGCTGCAGGATAAAGGCGACAAATGGCGCTTGCAAAGTGAGCAGCGTGGGCAATTTCCAGGGAAGGCTGCAGAGGTTCACCACGCACATGCTGGGGCTGGCCGGTGGGCGCACGCGGAAGGCGGTGGTTTCCAGGCAGTTGGTTCCAGCAGCAACAGGTGGCCGCACGGCAAGGTGTGGCGCACCACAAAGGCCACTTTACCGGCACGCTTACTGCACGTATGGTGGAAAAAACTGCAGCCAATGAGCCTTTTCGCTGGGGCACACTAGTGTCTGCACCCCTGCATAAGAACCATGCTGGGCTGGTGCTGCGCCAGTCGAGCAGCAAGAGCAATTCTGAAGAGCAAGGGGCCGAAAGTTTTGAGCTGCTAGATAACTACGAGGTCATCCTCATTGGGGTTGCGGCTCTTGAGGACACCACCGCAGCGGGTGATGCCGTCAGAGTAAACGCAATGAAACGACTGTTCGGTTTTGTTATTCAAGCTGTAGGCAAACCGGCTAGCCCCTCCAAAACCGACAGATCGTGGGACATTCTCGAGGGGTGACGCCGTCGTGGTCCCCATCACGCTCGCAGCACTGGCAAACTGCAATCACACCCACATAGAGACAAGGAAGAATGTGTGGATATGTGCCGAAAGCACATCGACTGTCATTTCCAGGGGAGGCGATCGTGGCACCTTCCGTCACGCGCCAGTACACACCAAGCAGCGCATGCACCAAGCGACGCCCGCAACCAGCCGAGCAAAAACAAAGGGGTGATAAAAATGACTCCAAAAGCAGGCAGCACCATCACGCACGGCAGGCATCGTGCAGCCGCGTCATCCGGCCCCAAGCAAAATGCAAAAAAACGTCCCACCTTCGCCAATAAATTCTTTCAGAGCACCGTGAAACTAGTTATGTTTGTGTGCGTGTGCGCTGAAGAAGCAAAAAAAAAAAGCACAGGGAGGCACAACATCAGCTCAGCAAGAGCCACAGCTGTATGGCAGTGATGCATGCGGTACAGCCCCAAACCTCTCCAATCACGCATGGTGGCAGCACACACCATCCAAAAAAACAAAAATAAAAATAAAAATAAAAAAACATGGCGGCAGGGTGCGGCTGTGTATGTAGCGCTGCGGGTGTCTGCCCGCCCTGGCCGCAAAGAAAACAAAACAAGAGGGAAAGAAATGTGTGCTCCGCCCCACAGGCCCTCGTCGCACGCCCACACGTCACGGCTCCCTCAGCGCGCCGTTCGTCGCGGCCCCTCCTCATGCGTGCAGCAGGCGGGGCGCACAGGGCCGTCGTCATGAGCGTGTCGGTGGGTGTGCGAGTGGAGCAGTTGGGCGGGGAACACACGGTACCCCTCACAGGAAGAGTGCAGCAAGAAACAATTAAAAGAGGGAAGAGTAAAAAAAACGTCCATAGTGATTGCCCCCAAAAGCAAAAGAAAAGTTATGGGGGAGTGAGAGAAAAAAACAAAACAGAAAAATTTAAAAAAAAGTGAAAAATAAAAAAGAGTACTGAAAAGCAAAAAATAAAAATAGAAATCACAAACACATAAAAGAAAAGAAAAAAGTTATCGGAGGTGAAAAAATAGTTTCCGGGAGAAGTAATTCTGTGCGGAGAGGGTCGCGAGTGTCCCACGCGGCAGCCAGTCATTCCTCACAGAGCCGCAAGCCCCCAGAGTCCCAGCAGAAGAAGCAGCGGCAGCAGTCCGCTCTCACGCACGGTGCCAGCATCGCTGTTATTCCTCTGAGACAAATTTTCAAGGCTGCTGCTGGGTGCCGTAGAATTTACTTCCCTGACCCGTGAATGGACTTCTCCCTGCCCATCCCCTCCTCCCACCGTCTCCCCACTCTCACCGGAGCTCACGCTCACCCCAGTTGTCACTGCGGGGTCAACTTGCCCCACGGTTTTAGCGGTAGGAGCGTTTGCATCTGCTGTGGCAGGAGTGCCCGCAGAAGTTTGGAGTGGTCTGCCTCCCGGCACTGTGTTTAAGGCTCCTGCCCCTGCTGCTGGGACACCATTAGGCAAAGAAACAACATCCCCATTTTGAGTCCCATCGAGAGATGCTTGCAACGCCAACTGCCTTACCAAACCCTCGCCCGCCAACGGAGCGGTGGTGGAAACTGCTGACGTGGATGCATCGCCACTGTCCACACCCTCATTTTTATTCAACGATTCACTCCCCAACGGCGGTTGCCCGCCAGAAAGAGATTTCAGCAATGTTCCTTGCGCACTTCCGCCCACCAAAGGTGGAATGGAGACTTTATTTGGGTTGAGGGCGCCAACCTCCGCTTCATTCAACGGATGGTTTTACAGCAGGACGTTTGTCACAGTCACGGAAAACTCTTCTTGGCTTTCCGCATTGCCTCCAAATACTCCAATGTAGAAGTGCGAGATTTCCTTCAATTCCGTATTTTCCAGTAAACACGTTTTGTCCCCCACGCGCTCACCATCGAAGTACGCGGTGCTCTGGTTGCCGTTCTGCAGCACAATGGCCAATTGGTGTGTTTTCCCTGGCTCCCAAGGGCTGCTGAGCTCATTAGACTTTTCTTCACCACACAGTAGCATCCATTTCTTTTCTTTGTTGTTGTACGACAGTCCCAGGAGTACAGTCTTCCCATTATCATTCATTTGTCTTTACACCCATCAAAGAAATGGGGGTATATTCCTCCAGCATATTGTCGGTGGACACCGTCGCCAAAAGAGTGAAGTTGTAGTTTGCGAAGTGATACAGCTGATTCTCCCCCTGCGTTCCAACAGGCCACTCCACCACTGCACCACGCCTTTTAAACTTCACGCCACTATCCACCTGCTCCGCCCCTTCTTTATTACTTACTGTGGCGTTCACCCCGAGGTACTCGTCCCTCCATGTGCCATCAGAGAAGTTGCCAGACAAAAAGCCAACCAGCCCATCCGTGACCTTTACAGCGCTGCAGTTACTGCTAGTTGAGGCACGCTCCGCATCACTTTTAGACGGGCACAGCTGAGAGACACGTTTGTCTACTTTCTTCCAGGTCGCCAGTATCTTCTTCACCCGCTCCAGCTGCGCAGTCAGATGCACAGAGACCATACCGGGTGATGGTTTCCCATTGTCCTTTTTTTTCTCTTACAGTGCAATCAACTCCTCCTTCTTATTACCACCATCTTTACCACTTTTGTACAACAGTGAACTGACGGCAGCAGCGTTATCACCTAATACCGGCCCAATAACAACAATGTGCGCATTGTCCGTCAGCCAAAGATGGAGTTCACCCTCTTCCACATTTTACTTAGAACACACCGGCAGAGTGACAAGCATCACAGTTTTCTTATCACTAAAAATGCCGTCAATCGTTGCTGCGATTAACCCACTTTTAACGAGTTTCACGTTTTTATTCTGTTTGTTGCCCCACACGCGCAAGAGTGTCCTAAGTGCCTCCGTCCACAAATCCCCCTTGTCACCGGACTCGTACACCCTGCGGCGGCCATCATCACACGCAGTCATCATTATGAGTTTGTCGTCCTCCCACCACACGACGGAGAGATCACTGCAGCCATCATCGGACATCCACTTAGACAACGTCCAACTCACAGTACTCAAGTATATATAATCAGCAAAACGGTTTTTCATCCTCTTCAGTGCCATTATTCTCCTTCTTCTTTGTACCTTCAACTGGGAACACAAGCGTACCGCCATTTACCTTAACACCTGATCCACTGCCGCCAATCAGTCCTGTTAAAAATTTGTGTTGCTCGCAGAAAGGTGTATGCAAAAGAATTTTGGTATTGCTCCACTTGATTTCTTTGCCACTGCCACTTTCTTCACCACCAACTTCCCCTTACACCAGCAAAAATTCACAGTCAACTGCGTCTCTCTCCTGAACACCAGTGGCAGCTTTCCGGCTGTGCTTTTTAGCAAGCAAGTAAATATCATTTCCCTCCACAACTGTTGTTGGTCGTCTCACATCCACTTTCTTCAACTCTGTGGAAGGGGCTTTCTCCAAAACCCGTGTCTTTCACTTCATTCAGCACTTCCACAGGCCCGTCAGCAGTAGCTTCTGTCAAAAAAGTTGGGATGCAACGCCAAAAAAAAGTTATCTTTACCTTTCTTTGTCTCTTTGCACTGCGCCTCGGCAACGGCAAACACGTCACTCCCCACTTTTAGAAGGCTGGGAACGCCCAACGAGTCCACAGTTACACCAGCACCCTCAGCGATGGCCTTCCAGTCAAACTTTGGTTCAGCTAACTCCTCCACCTCATCTGCAGTCACAGTTCCACTGCCGCCGAAAACCATGAAGACAAGTAGAAGCAGCACAAAATGGAAGAAATGCCGGGACATGTTGGGCCTCTGCAGCTCACTCTCTCTTCCTTCCCTCCTCCTTCCGCTGGATCCGGTCACGCGGCGACGGTTGTGTGTGCGGGGTGCCTTCACAGCAGCAACAAGTGAGAGCACATAAATATGTGTGTTTGTGGGCGATGTGTGTGCTGTTGGTTCTTCCAGAGCCCTCGAATTTCACAGTGGCGATTCGCGTTTGGTAGTAGCTTCCTACTGTGTCAGTGGGTAAGAAGTAAAGGAAAAAACTGCCAATAAAAGGGTGAAACAGTAAGCACTGCCAGCATCCACAGTGAGTGGCGCCATCATCCCCGCCGCAGTCACTTCCAACAACAACAACAACAACCCACGCACACAGACACAAAGGACAAGGAAAAAAAACAGTGCACCGGGAACACAGCAACTGTTACCACCACCACCAGCAGAAGCCACAGCGGTTGAGGCGTTTGTCACGCGTCGGCACACACCAAACAACACCCAAACACAAATAAACCAACGTGATGCAAAAGGGCACAGCCGCCCTTCGCTGCGCCCATGCGCTGCCGCCAGTCCTTTTGTTGCTGTCTCCTCCAGCGCTCCCGCTCCGCCACCGGCACACACCACCCCGCACAGCCGGAGGATCCCCCGTCGACGGATCCACAGCATGAGAGAAGCTTCGGCACGTGCAGCTGCCGGAAGGGAAGCAATCCGCACTCGTCCCAGGCACCCTCAACACCCACACCACCCACCTGCCTGCATGCCGCCAAATTCACGCCCGCAACACGTCGACAAGACACATCGCGGTCTCCCGTCCTCCCTCCTTGCAAGGGCAGCCGAAGACAGGACCCTGTGCGTCCGTGCGTCCTCAGCAAACAAATCCCTCCACAGCGTGTCCGACACAGAGTGTGTGTGTGCATGTGCTTGTGCGTTTGTCAGCGCCCATAATTGCAGAGCAGCTGTGCGCCACAAGAGAGTCAGAAGAAAGCAACGGCAGAGAGAGGCAGATAGCACACACGCAAATTACTCATATCATCACACACAAACACACACACGCAGCCCGCGGAATGGGTGCTCTCAACCACAAAACAATGAAAAACAAAACAAAAAGCCGAAGCATGGGACGACCAGCGCACACACTCTCATTGCTCCCGTAAAGCAAAACACACACACAGGGGGAGAGAGAGTGAGAGGTTGCCCACTCAAAGTAATAAAAAAAAAGAAACAGTTACGGTGCTCCGGCCCATGCAGCCAGGCAGGACGGCAGCGGTG